TCACCGGTGTACTCCATCCCCCACATGGTTGCCTATTAGGACATTTATTGCTGAGGAATCCCCTTAGCAGTAGTGTCCGTCCCGATGATGATCCTTAGGCTAGGTCCCTTATGATAGGTGTTTAGGGACGTAAAGTGAGGATAACGGGAACGGGTAATCGGGTTATTGTTGATTGATGAAATTAATAAACTTATTGTGGGTTGAAAACCCTATGTGCTCACCAGGCTCCCAAGCCTGACCCACTCAGTTTTATGCATTACAGGTAGTGGCGCATGAGCATAGGTGTGATGTTTTGGACGAGGGATTACGGATATAGGCCTGTAGATATGAAATAATGTAGTAAGGATTATATTGTACTGTTTATACTTTTGATCTGTACGAACATGACATCCCGAGTCTTTTAATGAAATACATTTCTATGGAAATGCTTTTGATAAATCTTTATCATATTATTGTTTTGGGACAAATTCCGCAACCCTTTTATTAAAAGATAACTCTGATTTTGAAATAAAGTATAAACAAAACCGGTCTTTTCTGGCCGTGATTTTGGGGATGTCACACATACTACCAGGCATAACCTATTCAGGCTATCCTACTTACTGTCTACTCCGTAACTAGCATGCAATTTCTCACACAACTGAAACACAAATAGTAGGCACATAAGGCATCACTCCTAGATCCTTAGTCCTATTCTAGCATGCGGTTCTACGAAAGCTGATAAACATAACATAAACTTGTATGGGTACTATGGGGAATACTTACTTGAGCTCGGCCGGTCGCGCACGTCACACACATTGCTCTTTCTTATGACTCTTTTCCAAGTTTTAGAGAACATTTTCTTTTAGAAATTCTTTCAATCCCTCGATTTGAGTTCAAACACTCCCGAAGGCGAGTCCGAATCCCTCAAACCAGGGCTCTGATACCAACTTGTAATGATCCAATTTTCACAACAAAAATTTTTTTGTTTAAAAACGTTACTTTAGAAAATCTTAATAACTAAAACATAATTCGATCATCCATAATATAAACTGAACCATGTCCGAACACCAAAACATACAACTAATCAAAATATCAGAGTATCAATCCCAGAAAAGCTCGAAAGTGCGGAAACCAAAGAGGGTGTGTGTGACATGCTGCTACCGCGCCGGCTCCTTTCCCCTAGCTGAGGAGGTACCTGAAACCAAAACTGAAACCGTAAGCACAAAGCTTAGTGAGCTCCCCCATAATATCCCATACCATACAAGCATTTAACAAATAACATGCAATTAGGAGATACGGGCCCCGCCCACACTCGTGAAGATACGGGCCCCGCCCACACCTCACTTTCTGAGAGATACGGGCCCCGCCCACACTCGTGAAGATACGGGCCCCGCCCACACTTCTCTATCTGGGAGATACGGGCCTAGCCCACACTCCATTCTCGGAGAGATACGGGCCTCGCCCACACTCAACCGCCAACTCATATCATACAAGTATCGCACAGACAACAAGTGTAAACAATTCTATCATACTGGCATATATCATAATCAACTCAACTAATAGATACGGGCTCGGCCCACACTATAATACAAACGTCTCATCTATACGGGTCGGCCTTGGTGCCTTAGACCCGTTACTACTGGAAGGAAACTCACCTCGAAATAGCTGCTGGTCTGTGTGGGAATTGATCACCTACTACTGCTGCTGCTGCTCCGGAAACTCCCCGGCTGTAATTCCCACAATATACTTAATCATATACTGCTAACTGTCCTTTGGGTAAAAAGACCATTTTACCCCTGGTCTAGCCCTAAGTCAATTCGAAGTCAACTTTTAGTTGACCCAACTCGCCGAGTGGATCTCCACTCGCCGAGTCCCTGTCCAGACTATTATCCTGGGTCCGTGATTCTACTCGTCGAGTTAGGCTATGACTCGACGAGCTCATCTCCTAATCTGTCATTCAACTCCTTCATCCTACTCGCCGAGTTGTATGAACAACTCGTCGAGTTCATCTTCATCCGAAGAACACATATACTAAGACTCGCCGAGTCTGTTCTTGATCTATGAAGATTGCCTTGGACTCGTCGAGTCAGGGCATTGACTCGCCGAGTCCTAACATGGGTGAGTTCAGCTCCCAACTCACCGAGTCACCCCCTGTGACTCACGGCTCAACTCGACACACCATGAAGGGACCAGTCCAGTGACTCGCGACCAGACTCGTCGAGTCACATATACGACTCGCCGAGTCGCAGCCATGCATCCATCAAATACGCCAATTTGCTCAATTCCAGTCCATGCCATTCACAGATCTGGGCTTCTAGGACACAAATCACACGTAAAGTTTCCAACTTTACGTGTAGATATTCACCAATATGGATTTTAAGGCTCAAAGTGCACCAAAAGAGGTAGATCTAGGGCTTTCATGCAATATGACCCCATAAAGGCATTAGATCCAAGTTCCAGGGACTAAATCATGCCTAGATCTAAAGGCTAACAACTTATTACAACCCACAAAGCACAAAAAAGCTTGGGGAAGAGCCCAAGAAGGACTCCTATGAAGCTAAAAGAGATTACAAGCTTGAAAACAGAGGGGAAACGAGCTATACCTCAAGGAAAACATTGGGATGACACAAAGATGCCTGGTCTCCTTCTCCTCTTCTTGATCTACTCTTCTTTCTCCTCAAAATCTTCAAGAACACTCCAAAAACACTTCAATCTCTCAAGGAAATAAGGGAAAAGCGATGTTGGGAGTTCTGGGGGTGAATGGGGACGAGGTTGGGGCGGAATGAGGGTTTAAATAGGGTGCAAACCCTTGAAATTTAGGGTTTCATCCAGCAGCGGTGACTCGCCGAGTCCGGGATATGGACTCGCCGAGTCGCCAATTTAAACGCGTCCTGAGTCTCGTCCCTACTCGGCGAGTCGGACCTTATGACTCGCCGAGTCCAAGGCAAAAATAGGAAAATGCTCAAGTAAAATTCACATACCGGAAACCAGGTGCTACACTGTGCCAACTCATCGAGTTGGGTCATCAAAATACGCGGCTGGAGAAATCTCTACACAACGAGTTGGAGCCTTCCAACTCGTCGAGTCTCATTCAAGACTTGACAATAGAAAGTTTGTTTCATACATGGACCAAGCGTTACAAATTAGCTTATAACTTATTAGTTTATTGTTTATTAGCTTATTAGTGGTAAGACTAAGCGGTTTTGCAAAGTGTTTGGATTAGAAATAAGCAATAAGCTATAAACAATGGGGGATGCTTATTAAAATTAGCTTATTTAGCTTATCCCCACCGCAATAAGCTAATTTTTAGTGTTTTCTATCCAAACACTTAAACTTATCTAATAGCTTATAGCTTATAGCGGTAGGGATAAGCAATAAGCTATAAGCTCTGTCTTTTTTCAGTACCGGCCCTAAGGGTTAGGCCTGACAATCGTGTCGTGTTTGGGTTGGCGTGTCGCGGGTTGGCGAGTCAAAATATGTCAACCCAAACATGAACCATTTAAATATACAGGTCATGGGTTGGTGTGTTTGGACCATAAACCCATATATGACCTGCCAACCCATTTATTTATACGGATTCACAGGTTGGTGGGTTCGTGGGTCAGATTTGGGTTCGTGGGTTCGGATTTTAGACATTTAAGTCTTAAACATCCAAATAAAAATTAAAAACATTCATAGAAACATGTTACAGACTTAGCCTTATAGGTTACGACTTACGACCTTAGACTATCCACCACGAGTCAAAATGTCAAAACAGTCAAATGGTCTATGAATCAATGGTATATATATATCATATAATACTTATTAAATAGTAATACTCTATACATAAATACATTTAAAAATAAAATAAATTTTTATTAAGAATATAAACGGGTTGGCGGGTCAACCTGTTTATTTTTTGAGAAACTCATATATGACCCGTTTAATAAACGGGTTAGTGGGTAGCGGGTTGGTGGGTTGAAAAACTCAAACCAAACCCATTTATTTCATGTCGTGTCGTGGATCGTGTCGAGAATTGTCAGCCCTACTAAGGATGTGCAAGATGTGCAACTGCACAGGGCCACGAAAAAAATAGGGCCCTAATTTTATTTTTAGTGTATTAATATATAATAGATTACGTAAAATAAATAAAAAGCATGTTTTAGTTTAGTTGGCAAAAAGCCCCTGCCTTACACCACTTTCTAGTTGACTAAGGTTCGATTCCTTTCCGCTTCTTAGTCCTTTTCTTTATTAATTCATTAACATATATATTTTGTTTTACACATATAAAGTCAAAATTAATTTCCAGTTTGCCAGGCTAAAGACGTTGCACTTAGTCCTTTGTTTTAAGGGACCACAGTTCAATTCTTGGCATTCTCAAGTTCAATATATTTTCCATTTTTTCCCTTTTTATCTCACCTTAACCCACCTTAATTTCTATTAATAGATTACACACACTATATATATGGAAAAAGTGAATATACCCTTAAGGGTACATAAGCTTAGGTACCCAAACTCACAATACTACGTCGTTTTATATCATATAATATATTATAATTGTCCAATGTTCTTATAATTTAACTTCTAAATTGATTTACTTTCATGATTTTTATAAATTACACATTTATCTTCCTCTTACTTAATTTTCATTTTCAACTACAATAAATATAACCTAATAGGTGTTCGACAAAAAGATGTGACATAAGAGAAATATAATAGTGAAATTTCGAAAATTTTGAAATTAAATCAAGTTAGGGGTTGAAGTTTAATAACATTATAATGAATATATCAAACAAAACGACATATTATGGTGTGTTTGGGTACCTAAGCTTATATAACCTTAAGGGTATATTCACTTTTCCATATATATATATATATATATATATATATATATATATATATATATATATATGTGTGTGTGTGTGTGTGTGCGCGCGCGCGCCAACCTTAGACACATACTTGCAAAAACACACGTACTTTCTTTCAAAGACCTTGCAAACACCACCACTTGCAAAGACAAAGATTCCCAAAAGGCCTCAAGGATGTACAACATTGTTGCACCATATGCAGAAATTTCAGGATCAATGAAATCCCTATGGCCTTCCAAATTTGAGCTTTATTTTGAATGTGATAAGTGTGTTCATGGCATGGAACTCCCAATTAAATGGGATGATAAGGAGTATAAACTTCGGACTGAAAAGGTAACAAACATGAATTTATTGCATTGTTTTTATTATTATTTATTACAATTACTTATTAATTGTATACATAAATGTGATAGCTCTCATGTGCAAAGTGGGTGTGTAGAAAGTGGATAAAGATAAAAAAAAGTTCTGGAGGTTGTCTTCGAGAATGATTTTGTGAAAGGTTGTTTTAAGGAGTCTAAGTTAGCGACTGACGTCTGTGCAACCATCCAAGTTGTTGGGAGGTTTGAGCTCAAAGTTGACTTATCTGTGGGTGTTGGCCAAGGAATTGTGTGGAAGACGGTAAGTCTACTTAGAAATGACAAATTTAGCATGCATTGTATCGATCCATTGACTAATAAATAGTGTAATTACTTTTTGGATACAGCATTTGAATGATAAAACAGAGCCCGAAGAGTTCAGGACCAACGTTAACAGTGATTGGGTGAAGATGAAACAAAATGAAGAATCCGAAGCTTATGCGTTCGATTTGAAGCTTCACGTCATTAAGCTGCTTGTGTAATGTGTGCCGCAATATCTAGTGATTTGAATTAGTCAATAAATGTTAAGTAGTGTTTTGTAGTTCCACGTTCGTGTCTTCATGTAAAAACTTTAAATCTAACGAGGTTGTTAAGAATTGGTTCTTGGAGATGAAGGCTTTGGAACCCGTAATATTATATTTATTTTTATTTATTAATTATTAATTCCCGTGGTATGAAGGAACAGGAAACTTTTCACTTTCTGAATTTGGCCACAAATCTTTATAGTATTTTGCCTAAGTGATGGGAACGTCGAGATGTTTCCGTTAACAGTACCGATGAAAGAAAAGAAGCATATCCATTCACGCTTAATTTGTAATTCAATTAGTGTTTTAATTTTTTGGAAAAAAAATTATTGTTAGATTACGGTGTTAATAGCAAAAAAATCTTTTATTGGTCATTTTTTGTTATTTAGGTAACGATTTCTGTGAAAGTTTGTCATGGAGGTTTACATATTCTTACAATTATCAGTTTCTGGTTCTAGATTTTGAAACTGAAATTCCAGGACTTATGCAGAGGACATAAGGTATGTAGTGAGAATGTTATATATTTGCATTTTTGCTTGAATTTTTGTCATCAAGTACATTTTTATGAATACTTATTTTTGTACTTTTTTATTAACGCAAAGAATCTTATGATAATTAATTTTTCTTCAAAGCCGTTGTTACATTGATGCCTAACTTCAGTTGTAAATAACTTCAAGGTGGCCTACTACTACTAGTTGCTACAGGTTGGGTTATGATGACGTGGAAAAAGGAGAAGACTTTGTTTCTGATGAATTCTGGTGATTTTCGAAGATTGGAAGATTGCAATCCGGCCATTTCATCTTGTTTAGTAAGATTTGTAGTTTAGATTACTTTTTATTGTTTCTTATTCGTTTTTAGCCATGTCCTTAGATTTCAGTTTCGTTCGACTCGACTAATATTGTTGTATTGTAATCGTTATGCTTTATTTTTTATTATGATTATGTCTAGTTTTATTAGTTTTATTCTTAATAAAATGTTTGATTTTTATTCGGCTCTTATTGGCCTTAGAATTATGCTTTGATCATTCTAGCTAATCAGTAATTAAAATCCTTACTTGTTTTACTCTATCAGTAATAAGTAATAAATATCGGATTGGTTCTAGTACAGGATTTGATTCTAATATAATCTGTAATATAAACTGATATAACTTTTCTTAGAATTTTAAGTTCTAACTCAATTAAGAACTTATGTGATTAAGAACTTTTGGTAAAAAAAAAAAAAAATCAACTAGACCTTGTTAATGATTTTTAGTACGAGTGTAGACATAACACAATTTGAATAATCAAAGCTTACGATTGATTGGTTATATGCAGGATTATGAGTCACTGTGGAACTAAATTCATTCTTTTAATCTGAATTTTCATAAACTTTATTTTACATGAATAAGTAGTTTGTTTAAAAACCTCTAGCATTCCAGTTAATTGTTCGATAATGCTATTAAAAAGGTGGATGGCAGGATTGCTTCTTTACATAGCTACTCCAAAGTCCAAATGATTTGGAGGCTCGGGCTAATATTATTAAAAAGTTCGACAAATTTGGGCTTAGTTGCCTAAAAAGCCCAAAGGCCAATTGGGACTTTGTGGAGTATGGTTTGATGGTGAATGGGTGTTACATAATAATATAATTTCTGTTTTACCCACTTTCATTCATAGATTTGTAGATCAGATTACAAATAGTTATAAACTCCTACCTTTAAGCTTCGACCCATATAAATGATGCATAAATTGATTAAATTCATGGATAAGTTACAAAATACCAACTCTTCAAGAGTTATCACATTAAACGTAACGTCATGAAATATCTTCAAGATTGGGGTGGGGCCTCATTTGTTGTTGTATTATCAGAGAAATAGAAAAATGAAGATTTTGTTTTTCATCCCAACAACAAAGCTGACAAAATTTCTCCCATGGTTTTATCAGAGGATTCACCTTCTTTTTCCACTTCAATATTGGACTCAAGCACTGCAGCATCAAGCACTAATTTCCTTTTTGCAATTTCATACACATTCTCATCCACTGTATCCTTTGTTACCAACCTGGCATCATACGGACCAATAAATAAACCGTCTTAGTCTTAATTAGAGAGAGGCTAAATGACCATTTTACCCTTTACAATAATAATACTGAGAGAGAGAGAGGGGGGTGGACCTGTAAATAGTAACAGGTTTGGTTTGACCGATGCGGTGACAACGGTCTTCGGCTTGACGGTCAATTTGGGGGTTGAAGTCCATGTCGTGTATAATGACGGTATCGGCCCCGGTCAGGTTCAGCCCCTGCCCGCCTGCCCGGGTTGATAACAAGCATGCAAATATTGAAGTGTCGTTGTTGAATGTGTCAACGATTGTTTGCCTTTCGGTCACCTGAGTACTGTCATAAAAAAATAGTAATAATAATAAACATAAATTCAGAAATTGAAAAGAATTAATTTACAAGTATAAGGGACAAAAGCAATTGAACATGATTAGACTAGACAAGCTTTCGAAACTAATTTTGATGATGTGAATGAGGAGAGAATTTATGTCTTTTGGTTTAATATCATCAAAAACCTTAAACTTTATTTCTTCCTAGAAAATCCTTTACATTTTTTTCGGTTTAATATCATCAAAAACCTTATATTTTGTGTTTTTCTCGGATTAAACGTCAACTTTACTTTTTTCGCTTGTCTTTTTCTGTTTTCTTCAATTTGGCCCTTTTAGTAGTTTTCTTCTGAAAAAACTTTATGAAAAGTGAGGGATTTTTTGGGAAAAATAATATTTAAGGTTTTTCATAAAAAACTTAAAATGTTGAGGGTTTTTCATATTAAACCTCAAGTTCACTATTTTCCTAAAATATCCCTTACATCTTTATGTAAAACCAGAAAATTACCAGTAAACCTGCTAAAGGGGCCAAAAAAGAAAATTTTAAAATAGAATTTTTTTTTTTTAAAGATTTTAAGTTAGTAGATTATACCTCCCATCAAGGCGTCTATATGTAACTCCAATTACATCGAGGGCCCACTCCAAGATATCAAGCATTGAAGTCCATTGACTAAATATAAGAACCCGATGCCCACCATCCATAAGTGTAGGTAGAAGTCCAGCCAATGCCTGCCATCAAATTAAAGTTAGGTTAAGTCAATTTAGGGACAAAAATGTAAATTTGCACACAAATATCTCATCTCATCTCATCTCATCATTTACCCGGCACTTTGCAGAAATCATAACATGGTCATCTGAAAGACTTTTCGAACTCCCATCAGAATAATAAAGTAAAAGCTGCAACAACAAAAAAAAATAATAAAACAGAAAATTAGTAATACACCATGAAAAAGAACTAATGTAATTATATCATTTTGAGTAAATTACACGAATGGTCCCTATGGTTTGGGTAATTTGGGCGCTTGGTCCCTAACTTATTTTTTTTTTTTAACTCGGAAGGTCCCTACTATTTGTTTTTGTTACGCGTTTGGTCCCTATCTTACCTAAAATGACTATTATTTAAATAGGAAAAATGGTGGGGTAGATAAGGTAAGGTGAGGGGGGTGGGGTGGGGGTGGAGGTGAGTTTATTTAAATAAACTAAAACATTAAGGGCAAAATAGTCTTTTTTAGGTAAGACAGGGACCAAGCGCGTAACAAAAACAAACAGTAGGGACCTTCCGAGTTAAAAAAATAAGTTAGGGGCAAAACGTGCATAATACCTAAACCATAGGGACCATTCGTGTAATTTACTCTATCATTTTACATGTAATTGCCTGAAAAAGACCTTGTATTTTTTTATTTTTTCCGAAAAAGCCCTCAACTTTGTATTTTTTTCCAAAAAAAAAACCTTCAACCTTCTTAATGCTTCCAAATAAACCCTCAACTTTTTTAGTTTTTCTCGAAAAAACCCTCACATTCACAATTTTTTTTGGCAAAAAATGACTAAAAGGGCCAAATTGGAAAAAATGAAAAAATACAAGGTTTTTTTTCAGATAAAAAGTAAAGGTTTAATCCGGAAAAAACACAAAATATAAGTTTTTTTTTAGTTTAAACCTTTATTAATAGAATGCAAGTATATTGCTATTACAGATATGAAATCATAAATATGTTGTTATTATATGTAAAGAAATGTAAGTACACAGCAACTATGGGTAAAAATTAAAAAGTAAACTACATTTGCATATATTACATTACTATTTTTGGCAACTTATAGAATATTTCCTACCTAACGATTTTGTTAATGTTAATCCCCTATATAGAAAGAAAATAAACTATTAACAAACAACAATTTAGTTATCTTATGTTCTTTAAACATCATTTTTCATACAATGAGGAGAAAAAAAAAATATGGCAAAATTAATTAATTACCTTGTGAATTGAAAAGTCATTGTAACCCTTAAGCTCCTCAATTACTCTATCCAAAGTACACTCAGCACCAAATACACCTCTGGGATGCAACATTTTGGCAAATCTGATGACATCTTTATCTGTGTAAATTCGCCTCACCAATAAAGGATGATTTGCAATCTGATAGTAAAAAAAAAATTAAAAACATGTGTTTAATTTATGTATTGTTTTCATAATTAAATGGAATAATTAGTATAATACCTTTCTGAATTGAACAAAATAGTTTGAAATCTGGCGTTTAGGAAGATTAGGGGTTTTAACTTCTTCTCCAGATTTTGTCATTCGTGCATTTGCAACTGCACGATACTCTTCAATGGCTTCTTGATATGCAGTTTTTTGTTCTATTTCCATGTGCACATATTCAACCTACAACACAAAACATTTATCAGCATATAATAATCTCAAAGCACCAAAAAATGGTCAAATTTTGAAGAAAAAAATGTGCAAATATGCCAATTCATTATTTTTCCAAGTGATAACAGGTCAAAATGGTCAATCTGAGAAGATGTCTGAAACTTTTGTGGTTTTAATGAAAAGATAAAGTATTATTGGTTAACAACAGAAGTGAACTATTTTCATTATGATTAAATATT